TGACAAAAAGTCAGAGCACTGTTGAGACAACCATTTCTTTAGCGTTAACCAGTAAAAACTTCATGAATTTTTCACAAATAAAAATTTAAACATTACAGAAAAAAAATACTCATAATCATCTCACAGATATAACATTTACAGCTACTTCCAGTATCATTAATATTATTTTACACTCATTTTATCCAATTGATCTTTCTGAGTGAACTTCAGTAATTATTTTCAAAATTATTTTTTGACCAGGATTTGTTCTGCAATGCAACTATTACACAAGCATGTAGGACTGCTTATAATGATAAAAATAATTTCCCCTAGGGATCAATAAAGTATTCTGATTCCATTTGTGCAATATCTCTAAAATGAGAATTATCCTGTCTTAGAGTGATTCATGCATTTATTACTTCTAGGCTGGACTACTGCAATTTATGATTATTAGGATGTCCTATAATAGAAAAAAAAAAAAAGTCCCTGAAAAGTCTTTAGCTGATCTACAATGCTGCACCAAGAGTACTGACGGGGACTGCACAGTGAAAGCATGCTTTTCCAATGTTGGCTTCTCTTCTTTGGCTCCCTGTAAAATCCGGAATCTAATTAAATATTCTTCTCCTCACAAAGTCTTGAATAATCAGGCCCCATCTCATCTTAATGATCTTCTAGTACCATATCACCCCATCAGAGCACTTTGCTCACAGACTGCTGGTTTACTGGTTTAATTCTGAGGGTATTCAAAAGTAGAATGGGAGGCAGAGCCTTCAGCATCTAGGTTTGTCTTTGTGGAACCAGCTCCCAGTTTGGATTTGGGAAACAGACACCCCATCTACAAACTAGGATTAAAACTATTTGAAAAAGTATATAGTTAGGGCTGGATCTGTGATCCTGAATCATCCCTTAGTTACACTGTAAAAGGTCTATGCTGCTGGGGGCTTCCCATAATCACTGGGTGTTTCTTCTTCACTTTTTTCCTTTTAAACTCACTGTGTTTATATGCCACTCTGCATTTAATCATTAGTTATTAATCTCTGGCCCTCTTCCACAGCATGTCTTTTGGCTCAGATGATTCATAATATAATTCATTTTTAAGGACAAAACACAGGGAAAAGTCCAAAATTAAGGTCCCCCTTTGGTCCATTGGACAGCTTTGCAAGATCTGAAAATGGCAGAGTGTAGCTTTCAGCATTTATTCATGTAAGGATTTACACATCACTGAGCCTAGTTAGGGAGGATATTTAATCGATAAATTTAAGATGAGCAAATTTAGTAGCTCGACTGTAGCTTATCATTTATTGTAAATACTAACTAGTTTATTAGGTGAAGTTGCCACTAATTCAAATAGCAAAGATATGAGAATTCATCGGGCTGTATCAGTTAAACATTTTTTAAAGTAAACTAAATTTTCTACAAAGTTCACCAATATTTCTTTAGATCAAGTTATTTGGTCAATTCAGTGAAATTTAAATTTCAAGACTTTTGAGCCTGACCTTTGTTTAAGGTCAGTCAGCAGCCATCCTCTCCTCCCCTGAGAAACTGAAGGCAGAGACTGATGACTCAGACAGGTAGCTCCCCGCTGGCCCATGATGGATGCTGATGTCCCCACAGCTCAAGCAGTGATGAGGAAAGGTGGCTTGAGGGTGAAGTTGATGGTGTAGGTCAGGAGAACAATCCTCTCTGATACATGGCGACAAGGCTTTCCCAGCTGTGTCTACTCAGGTGATGTCATTCAAAATGGATAATGGTGGAAGAGCAGAGTAGCTGGCCCTATGCAGCACCAGTGACTGCTGAATGATTTGTAATACACCGCATTGCCAAAAATATTTGCTCATCCATCTCACATGCACATGAACTAGGGTGACATTAGATACTTAATCTAGTATTTACCATGATGTAGGCCCACTCTTTGCTGTTACAATAGCTTTAACTCTTCTACGGTAGGAAGTCTTCCCACAGGGTTTAGGACTGTACAGGCCAACTAATTCTTTCACACTAAAACTGCCAGATTTCATATTCATAAACAGATTAATCCTGAAACAGCATTTCCTCTTAGAACAAAACTAAGAATTCACACCTAAATTAAACAAACAAAAAGCTAAACCTCAAAATCTGCTCCGTAGTAGAAATTACATTTCAAAAAGAAAAACAAGTTTCCTACAAGTTTTCCATTTTTTTGATTTAACTCCGACCTTAAAACAAACCAAGGACACAAACTTGGGCCTAATTAGTGTAAAAGACCTTTATTATTGAATAAAGTCCTTTTTCATCTTAGAGGTTTCTCCTTTACTGTGATTGGTCCAACAGCCATTTCCTGTTCCCACTTTGTACCTTCAACAGATAAACAGTGTGACATCAACCTTAATATTTGTATCAATTTTTGTATTGGAACTGAGAAAAATATTTATTCGTGTAAATTTTATGTGAGTGAGTGCGTGTTGCTGCTTACCCTGTACAGTCAGGCTGCTCTTTGTGCCTGCCCTGCAGTCTGTGTCACAGCAGGAGCAGGCATGATGGATACCACTGGCCTCCCTCCACCTGTCATTCAAAAAGGTTTCTCTTACTTACTCCTCGTACTTGTTAGTTAGCTGAGTGCACCAAATACAATGAGCATACTATTATTATTTTTGTCTTTCTAATCAAGAAATTGGTACTAGTCCTAAAATACTACAGAGTTAAAATTAAAATCCTTTTAAGCAACTGAAGATGAAATTTGAGGATGGGAGTTTTGTAGTAACACTGCTAGTGTCTTACCCACTGGAGAATGAACAGGCTTTGTTGGTGGCATTGACATTTGCAGCAGCTTCCGTGGCCCTCAGGCTGCAGGTAATGTATATCTAACGAGACACATACAAAGAAGCAAAATCTACATTTCTGAGCAATGATGTGAAAGCAGCATCTGCCTGGCAGGAAAGCTGTTGCATATCTTACCACACCACTGTTTCCGTGCTGGAACCTGAAGGCCTCCAACTCAAATTGTAGTTTGTCTTTGTGAGACTGAGGCAGGAAGTGAGAGCTGGAGCCTGTCAGCTGACTGTCAAACATACACCTGTACACAACACAGAACTCTCATATTAAACTCACATTTAGAAGAGCAAGGCTAAAACATACAAGTAACAACATAAACATATTTTTGGGTTACAGAGTACAGTAAACTGACCCATTATTTCCCAAGAATGCGTATCGAGGGACAGTGTCCACGTTTGGGACCACAGTTGCCACACAGCTGTCTACAGTTACTCTGAGAGGGATGTGGTGAAACTGTTCAACTGAAGCTTCAAACTTCATCATGTCTCCCAGAAAAAACTGAGTACTTGAACGAGGGAACTGCCAGTTATCTGAAAGATACAGCACAAAAAGAAGAGAACGTACGCAATCAGAGGACCTGAAAAGTTACTGTAATATGTGAACAACAAAGAGACCCACCAGTCATTAATCTGAGGGAGAAGTAGAGACTTTCCTCTGATGCTTTGGTCTCACTGAAAGGAGCCCAATTTGGCTTCAGCACATCACTGCTCACATCATTCTTCCTAAAACACAAAACAAAACCCAACTGCAAACACCTGAAAAAGAAAAACTTTGACAGAGTCTGACTTCAGGGTCCAGCTTTATCAAAAAGACATCCTTTTGGTTGAGTTAGAAAAATAAAAAAGCCTGACCTCCGGTAGTGACACTCGATGCTGACGGAGACATCTATAGTTCGGACGATGGGACTGCCCCCCAGAGGGCTGGGCGTGTAGAGCAGTGTGAACACATAAATGAATGACTCCTCAGACATCTGAAGTATAGTTGTAAGAACATTTCAAGTTCCATTAATGTGAACTTTCACACAAACACTAGTATGAACACATATTCCTACTGATTGGTCTGCAGTTCGTCTTGACTAGTTCCTAAGTCAAACACAATTAAAACCCAAACACCACTGTTGATTTATGCCAACATAATTATTTTATCGACTGAATACCAGAGATGGTGAAGAATCTAACAAAGAAACAGGAAAAGGAAATGTCAGACCTTGGTGAAAGTGCATATTAATTTGAACATTTAAGCCTCACCAGTAACTGACTGCCACAGCCATGAAGCTCTGACTCAAAGATTAGAATCTGAGCCTTAGGATCTTCCTCTGTAGCAGCACATCCTCCCAGTGTGACATCTGTAGTCTGAACCAGAACACCAGACCCCAACAGGTCTCTCTTGGCTTCCACTCTGATCGAGTTTTCCCCACAGATGACTTTGATGCTTTCAGGTGCCATTGGAGTTCTCAACTCAAAGTTTGGAGGGAAACGAGGTTCATCTTTAGTTGGTTCCTCTGGAAATCTCCAAGACAATGGTTCAAGGAAAGGTGGTTCCTTCTGTTGGACAGCTTACAAAGAAATATGGCTTCTCTCAGTTTGTTTTGTTCTTTTAGTGCTGAACAGTTGTGCAGTTCAACAACAGCCAGCCCAGTCTCAAAAAGGTTTTTTGTCTGCAAAACCCAAAGATATCTTTAATAAACAAAACTTGCAAATATTTTAGTAGAGACTGTCCAAGGATTGTTTCCTTACCAGTGTAGCACCAATGAAAGTCATTTGGTATTAAGCCACAGTGAGCAGTAGTGAGAAAATTACAGCTTCTCACTACTAAACTGAGAAATTGTGTACGACACCATACACCATAACACCTATACTGTACTATGCATACAACACAATGAAATTCATAAGATTCATCAGAATTAGAAATGATGCAGTAAGCATAAATGTTATTGCTCTGATGATTGATTTGACCTCATTTTAGATAAAAATTAAGATTATATTTATTTGTAATATACAAAAATACATATTAAACTTCTAGAGAAATGAAAAATCATCACTTCGTGTGTTGTGTACCTGCTGGTCTCTGGACTTGCTGGTTTGCACTGTGGTTTCCAAACCTGTTGGCTGCAGGATGGAGGATCTGGTTGGACTCCCGAGCTGCTGCTAAAGCACCACAAACGAGACAAAAAAAGATTCGGATCATTTTGTCAGGCATGTGTTTGCTGTGTTTCATCTGTTTGAAACAGGTTCACCTGTGCAAAAGGTGGCTTTGTAGAGCTGACTCTTGGCCCTGCCCACTATGTGATTGACCTGATGATTCTGCAGCTGAGTCATGTTTACCTGTTTGGAGACCAGATAAATAAGATCCCCAACTACACTGACTGAAATGCAGCCCCATAGAGTCCACACTGTTGATCCTCCTGACCTTCTTTATTTGTTTTGTCATCAATTTTCTTTTTAAACACATCAGCTTTTCATCGGCACTGCTCACAACTGTAACGAAATGCTCCCAGGCAGGAAGGAGGCAGATCAAAGCCATGGCACCGGCACCACCTCCAGACTTGGATTAGCTTGGCTCGGTGCAGATCAACACCCCCAAACCCAGAAAGTATTATTTCTGAGACCTGTACTTATTGCCAGTCCAAATCCAAGTCCAAATCTGATGTTGTTCCCCTTTTCCTTTGGGTTCTGTGTGTATGTTTACTCAGTCATGTATTATTGCTGCTGGTTGGTATTTGAGTGAAATTAAGGTTGTCTTTTACAACGTTTTGTTCACCTGTGGTTGAACCAGCTTTACAACAATGAAGTCAGTATCATATACCGCAAATTCTGTTTACCTCTCTCAAAGGTAACCCTGGTTGCCCGGGTTTCTCCGCCTTCCTGTCAAAGTTTCACCTACCATTTCTGGTCATCAAGATGGTTTCTTAAGACTGAAGCAGCCATTGCACTTTTGGAAATAACCTCTGTTTCTGTGCAGACCTCTAAGCATTTTGGATACCCTCAAGTATGTGTGATAGCGAGTGTCTGCCCACTCTGGGAACCAGCAGCATTACAGACAGTGTTTTTTTTTCTTGCCTTTTTGCCACATCCTGTCAATAAACCTGTGCTAACCCCTTTCAGTGTCCTGCAATTGAGTCCATCATTCTGAATGTTCATGCATATCTATCTACCAACACAAAAATAACACATTTAAAATATTTAGCAGTAATTTAAAATCATTTAATGCAATATTTTATAAACAATAAGGCTTTTTGGAAGCCCACAGATATACAGAACATTATAAAAATCCTATTTGAATCTATATGAATCAATGCTTATGAATGAATACTGCTTACAAAAATGTGTATGTCACAGATATTGACATACGCATAATTAAATATTATGTGTATTTAATTATACTGATCATCCATGCTAATGTTTAGGCTGGCTCATCTTAAAATAAAGTCTAACAAGACAGACAGTTTGGTCTTAATTTGAATAATTTGCTATAGGACTCCATTCTACTACATCTACAGGACATGCTGGCCACCTGGTCTTGCTCGACAGGGCATCAAAAAAGAAAAAAGAGGAACAGAACAGTCTGATTAAACACTAAGTTGTCCAACTATTTGAATTATTAAAGAGTTTCCAGTTTAGGGAGCAAAAAAAAATCTTTACAGGTAAAGAAACATTTTTGTATTGTCTTCATAGTGTATTATACAATCACTCAGCTTTTTTATATGCTAAATAAAACTGCTGCATTGTTATCACAGAGGTTCAGTTGTTACTTTGAGAAAAGAGAGAAATCACAGAGAGAAAGCACAGAGAGAAAGCACACTCTCTTGCTCTACTTTTAGTAAAGGGCAAAAAAGACATGTTTCAGCAATAAGCTGTCATCAGTTGCTTCTCGTTACAGTTGTTATTTCGTCATTGAGAAATAGAATAGAATAGAATAGAATAGAATTCAACTTTATTGTTATTGCACATGTCACAGGTACAAGGCAACGAAATGCAGTTTGCATCCATCCAGAAGTGCTTTAGCCATGATATAGATATATTACAAATGAGTTCAGACCCAGCTCTGTGCGCACGTAGTATAAATATATTTAACGTAAGAAACAACATCTGTTCTATTTTTGCCATATCAAAATGAATAATACACATTTAGATATATATATAATTTATTTAATATATTAAAAATTAGACAGAAAATGTTCGATATGACTCTGTTTGTGTGTCAAAGACGAATTAATTGCTAGAGTCCATCCTCGTAAAACTGTTTATGAGTCGCTGCTGTACCTCTGTGTTCTGCATAGAAATAATTAGTCCAGCCAAGGTCACAGTAACACCCAGGCCAAAACAAATGCTGAAACACATTCATGCACAAGGACAAAAACACAAAGAGCTCTGTTCTTTTTGTAACTGAGAGCCTTGAGAGACAGAGGGGAGACTACAGTGAGAGGACCAGAAACCAGAACCAGATCTCAGCTATCGAGTGTAAACCTGTGGCAGCTCGTCAGGGGTATCACAGCTGATCACACTCACATTCAGATTCATCCAAAGTCAAACCCAGGACCTCCAGGCTATGACGTGAAAGTGCTGCACATAGTGATGTAATGGAAATATCTCAGGAATGGAAAAAAGGAAATATTTGGAACTCTCTTCATACACGGTGGAGCAATGTCAATGCAGTGCCTATGTGCTAATAATGCATGCGTGTGTAAAAGAAGAGAAACTGACAGGCTTTGTGGTGCCGGCCTCGAATGACCATTCAAGGAGTGGCATTGTTGTTTTATTTTTTAGCTCTGGAGAACACCCTCACCACCCACCACCACCCCTCTCTCCCTCTCCCTCTCATGTATAAACAGTAGCAGTCTCCTGGGGCTGTTAGCAGCTCACCTTCACTGATATTAATGAGCTCTTTCTGCTCATTTCCCTTATTTATTAACTGCTGATAGCCAGAGGAAAGGTAGGTGTGTGTGTCTCTGTGTGTGTGTGTTTGTGTTTGTGTGTGTAGTGTTGTTTGAGTTTAATGTTAAATGTTATTTTTTTGCACATGTGGCTGTTTTTTTAATGTTTTTCAAAAAGGAGCAGTTTGTTAATGATGATGTCAGTGAGTGTTAGGAATGACCTTAATGGAGGAGAATGGTTTTTTTTCTTTTTTTTTTCTTTTAGAAAATAAAAAAGCTTTAATGGGGCACAGTCACTCACAGCCAAAGGGACAAATAGGGACCACATCCTCATTTTAGTTTTGACACCACTTCTAGTAGATAATGGCTTGAGCATGAATCAAGGCTGCAGTTTGGGAACGGCTTCAGGCAGATCCCCAAAGAAGTCATGCACTGGAACCAGTGATGACTGTATGTTACAAAGGTCAAAGATTGTTGCAAATATGTAACTGGTAGGCAAGCTTGGGACTGGGAGTTAAGGGAAGGTGCCAGCAAAAAGGAATGCCAGGAGAAGAAATCAGAAGAAATTCTGGATAATGAGAGAGCTTGATAGAAGAGTGAGGGGAACCTGAATCAGGTAGCGACGTGGCTGGACACTGAACAGAGGCTCTGATAGTGAAGCTTGCTGGGATCTTTGAGGCCGGAATGGCCCAGCAGCTCATAAAGGCTTATGGGTGAGTTGTTGTTTGGCTGGTTAGTTTACATTATTTGAGTAAAGTAGCGATGAATACTGTACAGATTTTGTAAATGAACAATGGTGATGGTAAGCAGTTTTGGACACACAATGTGATTTTGGCCATGAAAGCCTGACGGTTCCGTCCATCCCGCAAACTCTTAGCTTTAGTTCTTTCCATATATTTTCAATTGGATTCAGGTCAGGTGATTGGCTGAGCCATCTTTTTTTTTTCTTTTTCGAAAGCCAATTGAGAGTTTCCTTGTGTGTTTGCGATCATTGTCTTGGTGAAAACATCCACCTCCGTTTCATCTTCATCATCCTGGAAGATGGCAGGATGTCTCGGTAAATGTTCACATTTATCCTTCCCTCAGTTATATGAAGCGTGTCAGCGCCATTGGTTGAAAAACAGCCCCACACCATGATGTTCCCACCTCCAAACTTCACTGTTGGTGTGGTGTTGTTGGGGTAATATGCATATGTTTAGCACCAATAAGGCTGTGACCATCTTGAAAGGGCCTACTGGTTTTACCAATCATGAGCTGGTTCTTGTGTGACACGTTGGGAATTACACACCTTTTTACAGGCCTTCAGTTGGACTGAGCCGGCTGATATTAATTTGCACTAAGTGGCAGGCTTGCTCTCTAATTACTGATAGATTTCAGCTGTTGTCACGACTTTTTGCACCTCTCTATCCCTGTGTCATTTCTCATTATTACACAATTTGTTGGTTTGATTTTGCTGGTTTGATTGCAAAGAAATGATTTGATTTCTTTGCATTTGTGGATTGGATGGGCTGTTAGCAATATCTGGGGTTAGTTAGATTTGGGGACGGGGTTATTTAAATAATGCTGTAGATAGATTTCATGCCAGTAGCACCTTTAGAAATATATTTTCCTAGAAAGTTGATGACGTGTTCAACACTGTTTTTACACGGTGTGTGTGTGTGTGTGTGTGTGTGTGTGTGTGTGTGTGTGTGTGTGTGTGTGTGTGTGTGCGTACACACTTTCTGCTGTGTGTTTGTGCTTTGTCAGTGTATGTCCACCACGTTTTAGGGAGGTGGCGGACACACTTGCTTGGACAGATTGGGTTTGAGGTCATCAGAAGACAAGCGAGTGCTGTTGTAGAATCTGCTGAGCAGCACATTTCTTGTTTGACCTTTGACCTTGGGTGTCCGTTGCAGTCACCTTGCTGCACTCTGTCTTCTGTCTCTGTTGTGTGACTCCTGCAGTTACAAAGAATCAGAAATAAACCAGTCGCCACTTGTTTTATGGGGAGAAAAACAAAATTAAAACAGACCAACAGATGTTTCCACTATTAATCTGTATCATCCAAAATAAACTGCAGCACATTTTTGTATATGAAATCTAGAAAGGTCACAATATACAGAGAAGCTGATGAAAAGTAAACACTTGATTCTTTCTGAAATTTTAACTATCAATAAAATGATCTGCTTGTTTCATGGAAATACTTGGCACAAAGAATTTGTCACATCCTCAGTTCAGTACAATTAGAATTATATTGACTGAGGTTGATTTGGTGCCAACAACTAAATCTTTGCTCAGGAACTCATCTTTCCTACACCTTTTACTATAACCTGGTTTCAGTTTGCCTCTGAAGTGTGTGTTTTATTTCCCGTCCTACCCTCATCCC